CCACATTTCTACCTGTTGTATTCGCAATCGGGAAATTCTTCGAAAAGCATTAGTGATCATAAACTATTTAAAAGTTGTGATAAAAAAAAACCTGACGCGCAGATCCGCCGACAGCTCATGGAAAACGCTTTCTGCCACATCATAAAAGGAGCCAGTCAGGCAGGTTGTGCCTGGTTAGACCGCATGGCGGGTGTCCAATGTACCTCAAGGATGATGACAACAATGCCCTTCAATATAGAAAAAAAACACGAACCAACCAAACCTGACCTAACGATCCTAGAATAGTTTGGGGAGTCTGGTTCTGGCTGGTTCACCTCGCCTGAAACGTCACGAGTTACAACCTATCACACCCTCGATGACAAGCGGTTATCTCGCAGATTATTTGCTGCGTAAAAAATAGCATCGATTTTATTCAGCTACACCAAACACTGATATACTCGTGTTAGGTATTTAATAAATTATAATTAAATGAATAATAGCAACAGCTTAATTTTAGGTTGTAGTTGTCGACAGTAATCAGAGAGAGTGGTGGGAGGGAGGGGAGGTCAGTCACATAAGGACACTGGAGGTTCCGTTCTGTTGACCCGCAAAGAAAGGGCAACACAGGCCCCCAAAATTAAGGTACCGGAGGGCCCATAAGATTGATATAAGGGGACGACGAGGGAAACAAGGGTCCCATTTCATTAAATCAGAATTATGGCCCTCAAGTATATTTTTCAGGGCCCCATTCCTTTAATCAGGGGGGCACCAAAGCACTCTTTTCAGGGGCTCTTCCATCTTCTCACTCCGTTCCTCATCATTTGTTATCACTGGTTGCTGATCTCAGTGTTTAGTTCTCCATGACTGCAAGATAAACGCCGGAAATCCTCTAGTGTTTTTATATTTTTGTTTTTCTTGAGTGAGAGAGACGGTATGCGTGTGTGTGTCTGTGTCTGTACCTCCTTATTTATGCGCTCCACCTCCCATTGTCTCCTGTATCCTCCACCCTGCCCACTGTAATACCCACCCTCCCCACTGTAACCCTCCCCTCCCACCAGCAGTACAATCCTCTACCGGCAACATCAAGCTGAAGACGAAATCCAACCCAAGGTTTATTTCCCGCCCCACAAAATCTCACCTGGACATTACCCACTAAATAAAGTCTGTTAATCCATAAATCCTATAAATAAATTCCCTCCAGTCATTTATCTTCTAGGGAAAAATCCTACTACATACAGTACATTAATTATACCAAATAGAGACGAGAAATATTTCCTCTCCATTAAGAGAAATTAAATATACCAAGCATCTTTGCAAAGGGGTCTTATCTTCAATTATTAAAAAATAAACAAATGTGGTCCTTGAAGAGTACAGGTCGACCAAGGGTGAAGCAGCGTGACTTGTCAGTGGTAATGCATGCACAGCCATACACACACACACACACACACACACACACACACACACCATGTAAACAGCAAGGACATTTATTAAACGAAAATCACACCCAGAAGTCCACCTCCCCCCCACCGCCCAACCTTGACCTTGAAGGCCTAGCTCCCACAGAGTATAATTTTCTACACTTATATTTGTTCCCAGTTTATAAAAGGATATTTCCCTGTTGTTTTTGTTTTCGTATAATCTGAGTACCGTAAGCGGATAAAGATGATATAAATAAGGTACTGAAAACGGTCAAACGCAGAGGGAACACTTACCGATATACTGTATTTAAATGAGAGAAATTTAGATTTACGAAGGCGTGAGGCTAGTTCGGAAATAAAATTATGGATAAGTGGGACAAGTTACCAAAACACTATCATTATCTTAAACTCGTTGGGAAACTTCATATATACACATCAGGTTGGATAGATATGACTTAAAATGAGTGATAATGGTTGGGTGTAAACAACGCCAACTCGCATGGGCCAATGTCGGGAAACACAACGCAGGATTTAATGTATTCGTCGCACGGTCAAGATGTGGTGGTAAGCTTGAACGTCAATTTGAGTTTCGTTATAATGTCGGGAACGTTCTCAGCTAATGGTATCACCTGAAAATTCGTCCCCGTCGCCTTATTTCACCTGAAGATTAACCACAACGCTAACTGAACCTACCCTAACCACACTAATGCATCAGATATTTCAATCTAATTAGGCTTCAAGGTGGTGCGAGGCATTATTTTATATTATATTTTTTTCCGGCTACTCTTTGTGAACATTAGTATTTTTTTTTCCGTTGTCATGGGCTTATATATCACCCAAATGGTTCTAAAAGTACAGTATAATTATCTCTTGACAAGCCATAAACACATCCATGAGACACCCGTAATCATCTGTGGAATTCCCAGTACTGTACGCTCTTCCATCGACCGAGGGTAGTAGCTTCAGTAATTGTAATCTTCCGTGTCTTGGAGTAAAATCAACTTGATGTATCTATATTCACAATACTATTCTGCCTTAAGGTCTTTCTATCCATTCTGACAACTAAAACAATTTCATTATCACATTTGATGCATCTGTATTAAAAAAAAGATATGTTAAATGAGTTATAAAGTCTTTAAACAAATCTACAATAGACGACATAAATACGGATTTTCATGAGGCTTTCAGCGCTCGATGAAATAGTCAACATATCAAGTATTAGTAAAATATAAGTTATTATATTCAGTCGCTGTCTCTTCAAGATAATGACCTCCGTGTTGGAATTCATAGAAACGTGGCCATCAAGCATGAACACAAAACAGCCATGATAAATGTGGTCTTCACGGCTATGGAGAACCAAGGTGTAAAAAGTATTGTTATACTGTATAACAACAAAGAGTTTCTTGGGTGGGTTTTACTTGGAGGATCCTCAATGGTGCTGCTTCCTGGTGGCAAGTAACAGCGATAACAATATGTACCAAGAGTATAGCAGGTAACGCAGCAGCCGAGGTATGTAGCACCAGTAGAACCGGTCCAGGGCTTAACATTTATCAGTGTCAGTCGGATATAGCAGACACACACACACACTGGACGCTGTAGGCCGCTGGAGGATGTGACCAATGCCACCCTCTTAATGGCAGGATCCGGGTGTGGGAAAAACTATGGACAAGACGTGACTCTGGATTATACCTGCTTCCCACCTCTCTTAGCCCGTCATTCCTCTCTCCTTCTTTCCATCTGGCATTACGTACCACCAGACGGTCACCACATTGTACATTAGCTATAATCCTGTGTTGCAGAAATGTTCGTTCGCAAACACATTCTCTTCTAGCGCTGTGATAAACGTTTCATTATATTTTCTTGCACAGTATAAATGCTTTGTGTTTAAGTTGCTCAGTCTGCCTTGTTGCTTGCTTATGGAGGCTGACGATACGTGATACACGAAGACGCATTTCTACTCTCAAGAAACACTCCATAGTGTTAGGGTGGTGGTTTGGTTATTATGAAAATAAGATACATTTTGGTTTAAAGTAGTGATTGAAAATTGCAGAAGTACTCAAGTTACTATTTAAACTATTTTGTAAGAACTGACAAGAATGCATGCACCTGAAAAACAAGAAAAATTTGTGGTATAGGAAAATTCTGCCCAGATAAAAAGCTATTGTAGCAACACTCGCCTGGGCCACTCATCACAATGGCTGTTGTGCGGAACGTTCCGTGTGACGATGATCCATGGCAGGGGTTTGGCTCACATCCCGTTACGGGTCATCACCATTGTTGTCCACTACGTTTACTTTACACCTCGTAATATTTACTGTATGGAGAACATAGATCCGGTTTCGTGAAGTTTCGGTTAGATGCAGATAATTTTTACATCTCTCATCACAGAAGACAAGTAACGACTACCGTCAGCTGCCGTAGTGGCAGGCAGGTTCATGATAAACACAGACTGCACCTGCTGATAATATCAACATAAATAAGGCCCAGCTAAAATTAACAATTTTGGCTTGTTTGCCCATTAGATAAGATGAAATAGTTGTTTAATAAACATTATTATCGTATTTTGGTAAGCTAAACCTATAAAGCTTAAATAAATGTTATAATCGAAGGCAATTACCCTTATTTATTCCACTAGCATAAGTAGATCAATTTATTTTACTCTGAAAACTTAACACGGGCAGGAATTCCTGTTTCCACCTAGTTGACCCTTCCACTTAGCGTAGTGGTTATAATGTAACCCGCGTCACTTGCGTTGAATATGCAACACAGGTCGTCGGTATTCTCCACGCTCTCCTCGTAAACCGGGTGGTGAGACGGTGGTACATTCATGCTAAATGGATGGTACCCGGGCGAGTTGCTGTGCCTCCACCGACCTAAAGAACGAGTAACAAAACTAAATAGTATGCCCTCATAACCAGGTGTGACTTAATTAACTAACTCTCACTGTACATAAGCCCTGATATTGAATACGCAATACACATGGTTATTCTTAGTAGTAAACATTCCGAAAACGTTTAGAGGACTGCGGTCGCCAACCCTCAGATAGGAAGACGGTACTCTGATTGTTAGTACTGTATAGCGTCCACTCCGTTCAACACCACACACCTCAGATACGCTGTATTAACCATAACCTCCAGTGCATCTTTTTGTCATCATTTTTTCTTCTCAGTCGTTCATGCTCTGTAGGAACTTCATATGACGCTACAGCCCGTCTCCAAACCCACATTAACATCTAAAGTTACTTGTGCGCCTCATTCTGGTGTTGCATATCAAAGTTTTACTCCCCGTGATCTGAGTTGGTAAACACCCTGATTATTATTATTATTATTAAAATTAGTTATTATTATTATTATTATTATTATTATTATTATTATAATTAGTTATTATTATTATTATAACACCCATTGCAGTAAATGTTAAGATAATTTACATATATATTTAGTAAAAATAGGCCTATGTAGCACACACTCTAGAGAAACAAGTGTGGGGGTAACCCATTCCTGACTCTGATAGACAGGTGTAGAGGCTATCCACACCTGACTCTCGTAGACAGGTGTGTGTGTGTGTATGTGGATCTAACTAATAACTACTTGGTCGTTCCAGCAAGGTTGGCTTTCCCGCAGTTCCAGCTTGGAGACGGTAATAACACACCTGTGCATGTCTGTTTCCCCCCAATCGCCCTTTATGCAACTTTGAGCTCTTACATAATTATGACTCTTTGGTCTTATTCGTGGCTCTGGGACACGATTGTAGTGCTTCTGTTTTTACATATGAATGCTGCTCGTTTTATAGCCATTCATAAGTGGCTCTGGCATATATCTCATACACATATGACTTCGATGTCTGTAATATGTGACTGTTGCATGTTTTATGTGACTCATAGTTTTATATATACGACTCTGATGTGTTTTGATGCCTGTTATCAGCATATACCTAGATCACGCGCACCTACAGTGATTTACTTGCATCAGAGCCACATATATGACAGACATAAGAGCCATATATATATATATATATATATATATATATATATATATATATATATATATATATATATATATATGGCTCTTATGTCTGTCATATATGTGGCTCTGATGCATGTCTCATATATAGTTTTCATGCCTGTCTTATATGTGTGTCATTCTGACACCTGCTATATAGATGTAGCTCTGATGCATGTCGTGTATGTGGGTCTGATGCCTGGCTCATATATGACTATTGCCTGCTATATGTGGTTCATGTACGTAAGCCATATGCGTCACTATGTTGCATGTCATATATGTGGCATTAAGCCTGTCTTACATATATGACTCCAGCATGTTTCTGGGATTATACAGTATATGGCACTGAAAGCTATCTTATATGTGGCTCTGGTGTAATTGTTTTTTGCTTATACTTAGCGTTTCTCAGTACTGATGCGTTACTGCAGTGCCGCGCGGAATTCCCAAGTTTACCATTGCAAGTTGCTAAGAGTGAGTTCCAGCCAATCACGGTTGTGATTGGCTGGAAGTATGACGTCATTGGACACAAGCTTAGAGCATGCGTTCGGAAATGCAGTGATCGGGGTTTAACATATTATCAGACTTTTTGTTTTATTATTAATTAACCGGTAACGAATTTGCTTAATCATTTCCGATACAAACTTGGGAAATATTGCTGTAACTTTTGTACTTTTTGCTTCAGAAGGATGAGGCAATAATTCAAATCTTGTTAATTTCTTTCGTGGAAATGTCAATATTTAAATGTCTCATTATTTTATGATATTTCAATATAAGAATGAAAAGTAGGAAATACGCGAAATCTCTAATCTTTAAATTATGTTATAAGAAATACTGGTTGAGATAATGTTTCAAGGGAGTTATTAAATTGTCCAATAATATGAAAGCTTAGTAAAACGTCTCTATGTTATTAAATTGTCCAATAATATGAAAGTTTAGTAAAACGTCTCTACTATGTTATTAAATTGTCCAATAATATGAAAGTTTAGTAAAACGTCTCTACTATGTTATTAAATTGTCCAATAATATGAAAGTTTAGTAAAACGTCTCTAATATGTTTTCTTCTTTGCAGTTGGTATCAGCTTCGGTATTCCAAACTTCAACGGCGGCGGAGGTAGTGGTGGTGGTGGTAATAGTGGTGGTAATAATAGCGGCGGCAGTGACAGGCAAGACGGGAATAATAGTAATAATAATAACCCATTCGCCTCTGCTATCGGGTCCATCCTGGGCGGCTTCATCAACGGCCAGAACAGACCCAACAACAACAACGGTGGAGGCCGCAACCCTCCCGGGAACCCCAACAGACCCGGTAACCCCAACAGACCCGGTAACAGACCAAACAACAGACCGGGAGAGAATGTTCTCGGGAATATTAACATTGGCGGGTTGCCCGTCACCGTCACCGGAAATCAAAATGGATTCGGCATTTCCTTCGGTCAAGGCGGTAAGCTGACACAAACACAACACATCCCCACAAACACAACACAACCCCACAAACAGATTCTCCTCCCCTTTCTATAACCAAATTCGTCCTCGTCATATGCCCACAAACCTTCAGGACCTTGATGTGTCGCCTTTTTATCTCTTAACACACAGTATGTCAGTTTGGACGCTGGGGCACATGTTACAGCAGTACCTCTCCTTCACCCCGACAGTTTTATGAAGACTCTCAATAACCTTTACGAATCTGGACTTTCTTCTCTAGGTGTATTTATCCCATATGATTTTCAAGTGTCTTCCCCGGTTACTTGAGGATAATGTCATAGATATGTCTCTCAAGCTCACCACCCGGACACCACTTCTAATCACAGTCATCACATCATCTGCCTTTGGCGGCTCCTCCGGGCAGGTGTTACCTTATATTTAGAGTTCAACAAGTAAATAGCACAGTTTTGGACTCAATTGTTTAAAATAATTACTACTCTATTATTATTATTATCATTATTATTTACATACCTGTCTCTTCAGCTATTATGATGCCTTCAACACAGTCGCTTGCTGGAGGGGGGATGTACTATCAAGCTGTTTACATATTCTCGGGTTAGGTTGTGGTCAAGACAACGGCGGATGTGAACAAAACTGCCGTGTGGTGCGCCGGAGGTCTCGCTGCTCCTGTAACCCAGGCTACTTCCTCAACCCCGATCGTCGCTCCTGCGCCGAAATGAACGAGTGTCTCCGGAACAACGGTGGCTGTGGCGACGTCTGCGTCAACAACCCCGGCTCCTACACCTGTGCGTGTAAAAGCGGCACCCTGCAGTCTGACCAGCGTACCTGCTCCTCTGGCGGCCAAAATTGCAACATCAACAACGGTGGATGCTCACAGGTTGGTGCTCGTACACATGCAGTAACAAAGCCTCAGCATGGTGGAGACGGGCATCTGGCGTACTTTCTATGACTGTGCCATATTAGGTCAGTACTTCATACTCATGTACAGTAAGAGTCCCACTGTATAGGTGGGCAGAACATACTTAAAAGCATTATTGTGTTGTTATTAGGAGTTTGTATGTATGCGTTGATTTTTCTTTGCAATTAAATCAAACACAAGATTCAATCCCAGTCTTCAATTCAATTTCAATTTTAATCGTTTATTCCTTGATAGAGGAAGTGGGATCCTAGTGCTGTCACTAGGTACCCCTGTCCCAGTCTTCCTTAAAATATAAACACATGCCTGAATTTATAACTCACGCACTGTACACTACATGATAATTTAAGTCCTGTGTCATATTTCAACTTGCACTCACACTTCCCAGAAAAAAAAGATAACATAATTTTTCCCCCAACATAAAAAGATCTTAATATATGCAAAAGTAAACCACGAAAAGTGAACCAATGACGGGAGTAAATCTACGGGATTTACGGTCCAGAATTGGTTAACACATACAGTATTAGTCGAGCAGTAAATAAGTGAAATAAGTCCACCTTTCATTAATCACTATAAGGAAGACAAGACCAACAAGGAAGGAACTGAAGGTGTGGTATACCGTCAGTGTTTCTTATGAGGGAAGGCGGTAAGTGTGATGATATTCCTCTAACCAGGTATTTTAAGCTGTCACAAGCCTAAACTAATCTCAACTTCGCCGCCAAGGTTATGACTTGTAAATTTTATTGTTTCAGCTTTTTATTCATTCTTAATTTACTTTTGTTGTTTTTTATTTATTGCCATTGTGTAACCGGAAATCATGATAAATTATTGGCTGTTGTTTCCGGGTCATGGTTAAGTGGTGATGTAAAAAGTTGTCACGATAATGGTTTTTTTGTGTGTGTGTATGTGCAAAGATTTGTTTGTCTAGCTACACACACACACTAAGGCGATGGATAAAAACTTGAGATTGTTTGGTTGCTCGCCAGGGTGACGCCTCCTCTACTTCCTTTGGGATTTCTTACGATGAGAACTGAACCCTGTTAGAGTGAAGGTTACTTAAAGGTCGGAATAAAATAAGAATCATTACATCTCATAACGACAGATAAACTTATATGATATAGAAGGACATATCTTGAGTGTATGGGTGTCTATGGATGTCCCAGGGAGGTCTTATGTAACACAAAGCTGAAGGATAATAAGTATAAAAAGTCGATTACGAAACATTACGAATTATTTGATCATTTACGAACGCATTTAAAATCGTTAGTCCAACGATTTTTTTTATTAAATGTGAAGTTAAAAAAAAAAGTGCATGATAATAGTAAAATTTGTCAAAATGTAATTAAATAAAATTGAAAAATTAAATCGAAAACGATGAGACTGCGAGAACTGATACTTGTTATTGTCCTAAAAGTTGATTAGACTAATTGTACTGTACACTCGCTCCAAAAAATCTCTTTACGGAGGAGGTAGGAGGTCACCTTCAACAGGCTCTGTGTCGTCACCTTCGCCTGGCTGTCACCTTCACCCGGCTGTCACCTTCACCTGGCTGGCATCACCTTCACCTGGCTCTGTCACCTTCATCCGGCTGTCATCAACTTCACCTGTCTCTGTCGTCACCTTCACTCGGCTGTCATCACCTTCATCCGGCTGTCATCAACTTCACCTGTCTCTGTCGTCACCTTCACTCGGCTGTCATCACCTTCACCTGGCTGTCATCACCTTCACCTGTCTCTGTTGTCACCTTCACCTGGTTGTGTCGTCACCTTCACCCGGCTCTGTCAGTATTCACCTTCACCTTGAGGCAAGACCCCGACAGTCAGTCAAAGGCGGTGTACAAAGATCAGACAATTACATTATAACAATGGGCGGTCCAGCACCTGACCCCATCCTGTGACGGACGACCTCTGCTGCGTTGCTACATCAAAGCATCAATACCACTACCTTTTTTTTTTTTTGGTTAGGTGTTGCAGTTTCGGGTGTTGCATTTCTGGGTGTTGCTCTTCTGGGTGTTGCACTCCTGGGTGTTGAACTTCTGGGTGTTGCACTTCTGGGTGTTCCATAGTCATTGATTGTATACTAATTTAACAGTCACTTCATTTGTTGTATCAGTAAGTAGTCGTGGTAACTTGTCAACTGTATGGTTCTAACCTTTGAACTTTAGACAGTATTGTTCACTTGTTCAGGTCATTAGTAGCTGTGTGTGAGCTTGCAGTGTACAGATACAGTAGAGGATATAGCCCAAGGAGTACGTCTTGCGTGTGGGTATTATATATACAGTATTCGAATTTGTTAGTATGCGGAAAAGATAAAGATATAATAACTCTTCTCTTGTGTGTATAAACAAGACACCCTTTATTGACAAGGCTTTTCTAGGCATGTAAATAATGGCTTTCAGGTATATGTGTGTGTTTGTGCACATGAACGCCAGATTTATATGGTTAATATAGAGAATATAAGGTAATTTCTTCAGATACCTCACCACAGTTGGATAATAAAACACTTTCTTTGTTATTTGTCTGTCTGGTCGTCTCTTTCTGCAGATGACCGTCTGACTCTGTCTTCTCCCCACGTTACAGATCTGCTCACAGAACCAACAAGGCGTGAAATGCTTCTGTCAGCAAGGTTTCTCCCTGGGCCGTGACGATACCTCCTGTCTTCAGCTGGACCTCTGTCTCGAAAACAATGGCGGCTGTGAGGAAATCTGCACCAACTCCTTCAGGGGCCAAGTTTGCTCTTGTAAACCCGGAAAGGTGGGTATCAGTGGAGCAAAAAACGGGATATTAGCTACTGTGTCTGAAGGAGAGTTTAGGGGGTCTTAATATAGCTAGACCAAAAGTTTAGTAAGGATAACTGATGTGATGTATGAGCTAACAGGGACTGGGGATTAGTCTCTTGTAGCCCTGGTAGTATCTGTTTTACGACCACAAAGAGTTAAATTGACGTTGAAGTATTAAAAAGGTCAAAATTAGCTCTGGGGATTATACTTATCATCTCAGCACGACTAACGCATTCCCCCCTATCTTGCATGAACGTCAGAAGACTAAGAGACGATGTGGGACTTTTTTTTAAGCAGCATCACTCCAAAGGAAAAACAGACGATTCATAACTTTTTTGAATGTGCGGAAATGACAGGATCTATTTATTACTTTGTTACATTCCGCGTAAACTGAGAAAGTGTATGATAGTTACATGAAGCTGTACGTATCAACCCTACCATATGTGTGCTGTTATGAATCTTCCTCTCATCTTCCTTCGTCATTTCAGAAAGTCTCTTGTTCTCTTTCCCTTCCTGCCTCAATGTCTGGCCTCACCACTCCTTCCTCATCTCTCCTTACTCTTTCTCGCTTCCCTCAGGTATTAGGGAGGGACGGTCGGTGTCAGGATATAAACGAGTGCCAGTTTAATAACGGAGGGTGCCACTACCGCTGCATCAATACTCTGGGATCCTTCAAGTGCGAGTGTCCGCCTGGCTATGAGCTGGTCAACGATCGCTTCTGTCAGCGTAAGTCGAAGTGTTAATTTAACTTCAGTGACTTCATAGCTCCAATAATTTAGTAGCTCTAGAAACTTTGTAGTAATTTGATAACTGTAGCAACTTTGCAGGTCCAATAATTTCATAGTTCCAGTGTACGATAATTCTAATACTTTGCAGAGAACAGACCAATCCCACCATCCACCACCACGACAAGTACGACAACCACGACTACCACAACCCAAAGGCCGTCTACGGAAGGCACTGGAGGCACACAACCCACAAGTGGTAGGTCACATGATATTCAATTACGTTTTTTTTTCTATTCCTCCCTGACCTCTCTTAACCTTACCCTTCCTGTCTCTTTCTAACCTTCCACTGACACTTCCTGGTAACCTAACCTAACCTTTCCTGATCTCACGTAACCTTCCTTCCTGACGACTTACCCCCATTCTGACCCATCACTCTCCGTCCCCTCAGGCTGCGGAATCAATCCTAAGAAGTCGCTGTTCAACCGCATTGTGGGAGGGCAGCGTGCGGACCCGAAGGACTGGCCGTGGATGGCTGCACTGTTACTGGCTGCGTCCAACACACAGTACTGTGGAGGAACTCTGGTCACCAACATACACATCCTCACTGCCGCTCACTGCCTCAAACCGTCAGTACCTCGTGATAATAACAAATACTAGTTCCTCAAGCGAGTATATAGTACAATACCTCATAACAGCCACACGAACTAGTAGTGCTGGATCACCTGAATATTAGACACCCTAGCTTTTTACACCTGATGATATAACACCTTAACCCTCTCAGCCTCGCACGAAACCATTGTGGCGTCGAACATAAAAGGCCAAAAAACTTACTCTCAGTCTCGCGACTCCAATGGGTTATATTTTCAAATAACTCAAAACTATTCGGTGAAACTGACTGAACTTTGGACGCCATTTGACAGACGTCGTTTTCTTTGTGTGGGCCTTATCAGTTGTCACCTTCCCAGTGTCGCTCTGCCCATTAGAGCGAGAGGAGGGTGCGCCGCTTGGCCCTTTAAATTATTCCTTGAGTTTTTGTTATATTATTATTCCTTATACCACAATATTCTACATGCTTTGTTCTTTATTTTGGTATACAGTACATATCAATGAACACCATAATACAAGCAAATTGTGAATGAAAATAGAGATGTTACTAAAAATTTTCCTACTTTTTCAACTTATACTCGAAAAAAGTGGCTTAAATTTAATTTTTTTTTTAAGGTTTCATGCAATTTTTCAGACTATTTTATGCTGGAATAGACCCCATTACAATTAATAATACAAATCCATGACAGTGAAATGAGCCCGTAAAAAAAAAAATCGGCATAAACCTCCGAGGCTGAGCGAGGCTGAGCGTAAGTTTTCATGCACGTATGTGTCTCAGGCTCCGAGGTTGAGAAGGTTAACCCTACCTGGGGGTTAGGTTAGCATTGGTGTTTAATCAACAGGTTAAATAAACTGGGTGTCTAATCTTGAGATGACCGGTAAACTAAAGTATCTCAAGTCTGTACTTTATAACATCATTTCATACTAGTACAGTGTACCACATACTAATACTGTATATATGTACTGTACCTCATTCTAGTACAGTACATCATCCCGGCAGTGATGTACAACTGTATGCAAGAACACTTTATACTAGTGTTATTTGACACCTATACAGTCGGGGTCAAAAGTTCGCTCCCGCCCAAAATGAGGCAGCATCGACCTCAACCGAGATGAAACAGGCAAGGCAAGTCAGTTCGGAGACTCATTCCCGTGACTCAGTTTCACCACGGGGAGCGAACTCTTGTCCCCGACTGTACAATAGATCTGGGTTGTCTGTTTTCTAGAAATTGTGTTGCCTTGATCCACTGATTCATAACAGTGCATCTAGGGTTTGGTTAGCTTCTCTCCTCAACCTCCCCTTCCTTCTTGTCTTTCTCCTTCCCTCCCCCCCCCTCCTCGTCCCCTTCCTCTTTCTCCTTCCTCCTCCTCCCCATCACCCTGTACTGTATATTACAAGCCCTTGTTCCCACACAGGTTCAGCGCGAAGGACATCCGGGTGAAGCTGGGAGAATACAGCTTCGAACAGACCTCCACTAATTCCCTCGAATTTAATGTTGTCAGTATCCGGATGCACGAAAGGTTAATATATTCCCTTATGTTTACCTGTGACTCAGATTAAGAGAATTTACTCAAGACCGTCATGACAGATAGATATGCAGGTAAACAACATATCGCCATAAATTGTTAATAATTCATTTATCGTTAGAGATTCGTATGCTAATTTTTTCCCCTTTTCTATCGAATATTGGCGGACTATTACGACTTTTTAATGGTAAATGACATAACCTAATGTGATTTCAGAGACAATTTTGTGACCTTGCATAAACTAAACCCTTGTGACTTTAATTCACCAAACTTCCTCTAATCTATGTCAGTGTGTCGTGCCCTGCTGGATTGATCTGAATGCTTCTCCCTCAGGTACAACTCAAACACGCAGGAGAACGACATCGCTCTGATCAAGCTGGACCGGCCAGCCACCTTCAGCGAGTTTATATGGCCTGTGTGTCTCCCTGAGCCACGCACTTCCTACACGGACAGGAACGGCTACGTCACAGGTATTGTGCTCTCTCTCTCTCTCTCTCTCTCTCTCTCTCTTAACACTGTCAACTTCCATAGGTTGGGGGCACCATTAACACTGTCAACTTCCATAGGTTGGGGGCACCATTAACACTATCAACTTCCATAGGATGGGGGCACCATTAACACTGTCAACTTCCATAGATTGGGGGGACACCATTAACACTGTCAACTTCCATAGATTGGGGGGGCACCATTAACACTGCCAACTTCCATAGATTGGGGGCACCATTAACACTGTCCTTCCAGATTGGGGGACACCATTAACACATGGTTGGTCAACTTCCATTTAACACTGTCAACTTCCATAGGTTAGCACCATTAACACTGTCAACTTCCATAGGTTGGGGCACCATTAACACTGTCAACTTCCATAGGTTGGGGCACCATTAACACTGTCAACTTCCATAGGTTGGGGCACTATCAGGTTCGGAGGACCAGTAAGCCCGGTGCTGCTGGAGGTGGTGGTGCCGGTGTGGAAGCCCGATGAGTGCAGAAGCGCCTACCCCAACAAAATCTTCCCGGGCATGATGTGTGTAGGCAGCAAAGCGGGCGGCAAGGACTCCTGTCAGGTCAGTCTAACACATCTTTTGTATCCCCCCACTCAGTTATTTTGTTAAAGCAAAATCTCAGGCACTCTTTGAGCTGGGAAGCTGAAATTTAAAAGCATCATTGACCAAGTACTTTGGCAAAATGTCTGTGTTGTATCTTAATATATTTCTTTCCCATTTCAGGGTGACTCCGGAGGTCCCTTCCAGGTACAGGAGTTCCGCAGTCGTCGGTGGTACGTGGCTGGGATAGTGTCGTGGGGCGAGGGGTGTGCCCAAGCGCCGAAGCCTGGCGTCTACACTGAAGTTGCTCTTTATGTCGACTGGATCAAGAGTAACGCCATCTTCTAACATCAATTGGGATAAGAGGGAAGAGATTGGGAGGAGAGAAACGTAGATAAAATTTCCTTGTGTGAGATCAAGTTCCTATACTGAGAAGGCCATTTATGGTGACTGGACCAAGTACTGTAGCATCATCAATCTCTAGCTTCAGGTGGGATGGGATAGGAGAGGAGGGGAAGGAAAGTAGGGAGTAAAGGACAGTTAAATGACTAAGTTGGTGAGTAAACAGAGACAAGAAGTTTGGAAGGGAAAGAGATGAAGAAAGATGAGTGGAACAGAAATATAATGGACGAAGGACCAAACAAGTGCAAGACAGAGACCAAATAACGGGGTTAGACAAAGTGAAGAAGAATTACCTCATACAAACATAATCGGGATGATAGTAAGATACTTTCAAGGCGAAGATACAATATTAAACACCAAAAGAAAAGGAAAATGTTATATAACTCGCTGGCGCCTGAGACGCACTGCTATAGTCTTTCATACACTCACCAGATCACAGCTATTAGCCCATTACAACACAACCTAACCTAACCGTAATATCCTGCTGATTCCTGTACTACAACGACCCTGCGGATGTATTATTGACGATAACATCATGACGCTCAAACACCAAAACTAGAGGCAGTGTAAACCAAATGCCTTTAATATACGAGTAGAATATGAAATTACCCAGCGTTTAGTGTTAGGAATCATTATATTTCAGGTTTACAAACACTTCCTTCCAGCCAGATGCATCTCTCTTAATCCTGTAGGTGCAGTAATGTTTTGGGCTGGTACTGCTCTACGCACACACACAAACACACACACGATGGCCTACGACGACCAAACCCACCTCCTATTTCTCCTCCTCCATCTTGAACTAGACTACAAGAAGCAACCTGACTATTATTTTATTTATTCCATATGTCTTTTTATCTGCGTCAGGATGTTTATCTTACGTATAGAGCAGTGTGTATCTCGACTGACCAGTATTGCCTTATTTCAACTGTAAAACTTTTATTATTTCTGTGAGTCCGGGTTATTAACTCCAGGTTAATCATATTTATAATAATAAAATAATAAAACCATTATACGTCTTTATGTTTTTATCTGAATGGCAAACTTTTGATTTATACTGGCGATGATTATACAGGTAAAGTCAGACGCCTTCAACACCTCTACCAGCCCGAGTCTTCCCTCCACTCCCTCTCTGCTCCTCCACCCGCCTCTCCCTCCATTATTTTTTCCTCCGTCTCCCCCCCCCCACCCAACCTTCCTTCTCTCTCCACTCTCTGTCTTCCTCTACGATTACGCTGCTGACCATCTTGCCACAACTCTGCTTTTCATTTGTCTATAATAAACTTTGAAAGACTCATGCTGTACCTTTATATTTTATTCACCTCTGGAAAAACATGTATGCAACCTTCATTTACCTAAGAGCGATAACTTGTGGCTGGCCAGACATGTGTTATGATGATTTACATTGTACATCATCATAACATATGTACTGTATATGAAGTTCCATACAAAATCAAGCAAAAACTAACATTACCCAACCTACTGTAGATATAATTTGGCTATTTTATGTTGGGAAACGACGTCGTAAATGAAGCAGAGTAAATTTTACAATAAATGAACAATATCCACTAAGTTCTGGGAATAAAAACAAAAGGTTATCCATATTTGGCAAAAATGTCAGTTACTTTTTAAAGCTTAAACGGCGATTATCCTTATTTAATGTGACATACATAAGTATGATGTTGGCTGAGCACTCGGTGCACATTAACAGTGTTTCCAGAGCGTTGTGATAATACTGTACTCCCAAACTGTCCAAACACTGCGATAAGCCAGCTGGTGCTCGACCGAGTGACGCCACTAACTCAGCCAACGGTGTTGGGAGCTAAAGCACTGGACAAGTGGCGGTAACGATCAAACATTCGCAGCTAATCGACATTCAAGTTAATAGGTTCACTCTACTGTATATCCTGACAATGGTTGCTTATCACCCTGAAGCCAAGAACGTTTCTCATGACAACAATGGTGACATCCGTTTACACGACCACAGACCGTGCACAGTGGAGGTACACGAGGGAACTATGTGTGACAATACCTTCAACCCTGGAGTGCCAGAGCCTTCATCAGCTCAGGCCTCGGAGACATTCAGTAACACAAGCTTACCAATAGAAGAGGCATACAGGGGCGCCTTCTTCTTTGCCAGCGTGCTGGGTCTTCACCATGCCCGGCGCGACGCAATCGGCCGTTATGTAATCAGCAACCTCAGGATCATACCTATGATCATCTTCATCAGTATGTGTTTATTGGGTCTGGGCTTCACGGTGCCTACGCTTCTGATGGTGTTCGGACCTATACCCTTCTGGTTCACGGTGATATTGTTGCCTTTCTTGGCCGGCTACGTTTTCTGTATCTTTGTCTATATCCAGTCAGCCCTACTCGCTCGAACCATGATACACTATATGGAAGCTATCAGACCTTTCAGGGTACAGGTGACCTTATTTACCCGTTTAATCATGATGGGGGCATTCGTGTACCCCACTGTGATCGCCTTGTGCTCTTTAGTCATGGTACCGACCTGGAATGCGTGGCTAAGTTTCCCCTCTATCATGGTAATGTCCGTCTTACCAGGCGCGCTCGACGCGTACATGGGTTGCTTTGTCATGACCATCCAGAAGTCCTTAGTTAAATTACAGGAGAAAGTGAGAATGCAAGCCACTTGGACCACCCAGGCGGTGCAGCTGCTGACGAATGAATGGTTCCAATTGGCTCACATCCTCAACATTCATAATGAGGTACTGCAACACTATTTATTATGTACTTACAGTATAATGATGCAGTACTGAGATTACAGCCGTAAGCTTAACGGTTGAAATATCACTGCTCAGAGGTCAGTAATCCATATGGAATTCATGGTCCTGTCGCAGGTATTTAGTACTCGGGTGATGATGCGCCTGGTGCTGTTGATGACGCAGGCTATGGCGCACTTATTCGTGTTCTGGGCGCTACAGAACTTCCAGCACGATTGTGTGATTGTGCTGGTGGTCACCGCCGCTCCTCTCACAGAAGTCGTTCTACGCTTCCGCAGACTCTGTTGGTTGGGCCAACAGATCCTCACGGAGGTAAATATGTTTTGTTTCTGCCTCCATCTTTAATTATCTGTCTATCTACACCTTTCATAACAAAAAACTTAAGGTAAACAATGTAATCTCTACACTTGACCAGCCAATACACAAGAGGAATGGAAGCAGTAAACATTTTCATAGCACACTGGCGACCTGGAGCATCACTGGCCAGGTAAGCCCTACTGTATAATTGTTGAAAACTAATAGATACTTTACTTGGTCTAGTTCCTTTGTATTTATCTCTTAATTTTTAGCTGCTCATGATTTGTGTAATAACAAATCTAGTAACGCACTTTGCATGTGTTTGTGTGTAGGGTGAGAAGGTGCTGGGGTGGGTGAGGGAGGCAGCCTACGCTGCAGGTGTGGGCACTCGGGAACACGAGGCTCTCATTGTGCTGATTGCCAGGATGGAAGCAACACCTCTTGCCGTACACAACTGGGGCATGGAAAGGTTAGTTCTGTCCTTCATTAATGTGTACCATATAATGAATAAATAATTTATGCTTTAGTAAGTTATAGTGCACTATAAGTTTTCAGATATAAAACACTATACAAACTATTGGTATTATTTGTTTGGTTTATTCTTCTCCCCCATTCCTTGTCCTCCACGTGAAGTCTGTCAGCCCGAACGCTAGTGTCGCTGTCTAAGGTGGTGGTGACCTACCTGGTGGTGCTGCTGCAGTTCTGTTCCTACAGCTCCTCCCTCAACCATTACGTTCCCAATGATGCCTTCGTGTTCACCGCTTACGACCATTGCTTCTGCAGTAACAATACCTCGTCCTAGAAGAACACCTAGCCTGGCCAGTCACGCTTCGCAACACAACACACTGACGCAACAGCTGTTAACGTGAAGAGCCCTTCATCACTCTCACCACAAGACCTGCGAGGAGAGGCAAACTGAACTTAGTGTCCACTGTCTTACCCAATGGCATGTGCCATCCTCACCATCATAAGTCAATGGACCCAGCTAATATTAACCAATAGCTTTAAAACCGTTATTTCTAACTAAGGAACAGGAAAAACAACAGAAGACTTGGGTAAATCTACCGTTATCTGTCCTGACCAGTGCGGCGCTACCTCTACTGTTATGACAGATGTTCATAATATAGGGTTACCATACTTCCGGTTTTTCCTGAACATGTTCTCCTTTTTGGTCCTCAAATCTCCGCTTTTTTTTTTTTTTTTTTTTTTAGTATGTAAAAATATTCGCGATTTTGCCCTACTCGTTCTTCAAACAACTTCAGACGTATGTGTGTACTTTTGCATTTCCAAGTGTTGTCGAGGTACATTAAAATTTGAATAATTAAAACATTGACTTTTGAGGTCATAATACTTGTTCGTATTCATATATAGCCTACTCACTGTAGACGATATGTAGAAAAACTTTTATATTATATACTCACTGTTACTCGTAGTATATGCTCATGTTGTATTAATGACTTTAATGTATTATATACTCTTGGGAAAATTCAAATACGGTAACCCTAGACATACTGTATACTGTATCTATACTGAACTGTCTAATTTGATAATTATAACCCTGAACTGTATTAAACATGTGAAATAAAAACAACACAAAGGTTTGAGTTTTCTTTTAATAGTTATTATTCATGAATAATATCTCCCGCCCCATCTCGGTCTTGACAACGTATTTGCTCTAATCTTAAAAACAACCAAACTTGAAATGAAGAAGTCAGGGTAATTCCGCATTGGTGTAAAGTTCTCCGACCAGAATCAAGATTGTAACGTGTGTTGTGACGGACATCTGGTTAATAACAATGCAAATATCCGAAACCATATAAGTGTCAGTATTACCCAATCAAGCACACAGTATCTGGTAAAATATAGAACATGTAACAATGAATTTTGAAAGATGATAGTGCCACGTGCCAGAGCGGTGTGTTCACTCTTCCCTGTCCTCCCATAATGAAACTTTTCCATGAGGGATCGTACGGGAAACAGCACACTGAATACTAACCCTTCAGTACACAGACACAATCTGACTGCTCTTAACTTTACTAATCATATCTTTCTTCATTAGCATAATCAACTTAACATAACCTCCCAGCCTAATCTAACCTGACCTTACCAATCTAACTGAACTCAACTTAACCAAAGAAAATAAATTCTTATATAATTTTTTTTAGCCAATCACAGGACATGACTTGCTAGTACGAAACTTGTCTTCACTCATTACAACCAATCAGGGCGTGTAACTCCCTACAGCTATTTAAATAAAAAATTCAATGTGGACCGAAAAGTTTATTGCTTTAAAAAAAAAATAACGTTCGTGATCGGAAGGATTAAGAGATTGAAAGTGATAATAACTGTAATACAAAGACATCCGATACGCAATTTTCTGTGTATCATAAAATTATTCCATTAGCCAGACTATTAGTGGAGGCCATTAGTTGCGTCTACTTAACGACCCCGATAAGAACGTTATTTTTGCTGTCCAGTGCAGGGTGAACGACTTTGGCTTTAAGTGTTATTAGTGTGGGTGACTGTGTACATCCCGCGCCGTTACACAAGCTTGGGAAGGTCGACGTGGACCAGATGCAGTCTTCAATTCCTTCTGGCAAGTTACCATACTGAGTTTACTTTTAATATTTTTTTTATCATGTTTTCTTGGCGTTTTAATCCACTGCCAGTGATGGGAAAGTCTTGTTAGGCTACCTGTGATGTGTCCTTGTTAGATGAGGCTACCTGTGATGTGTTCTTGTTAGATGAGGCTACCTGTGATGTGTTCTTGTTAGATGAGGCTACCTGTGATGTGTTCTTGTTAGATGAGGCTACCTGTGATGTGTTCTTGTTAGATGAGGCTACCTGTGATGTGTTCTTGTTAGATGAGGCTACCTGTGATGTAGGTTAGGTGAGGCTATCTTTGATGAGGGTCTTTGTTAGGCTAGGGTACGGTGATGTGTCTTTGTTTTTGTTTTTTGTAGGGAAAGGAGGAATGAAGGAAGATTAGAGGTGGGGGAAGGAAGTTATAGTTCGGAAATTGAAGAAATTCAGGAGGAGGTAAGAGAGGGCGGGCTGACCGCCTAGCTAAGCTAATAGTGTGTTAGGGTTGTGTCATGGGTTAGTTATTGTCTGCCGGTACAGGCACTAGACATCCTACCCTGTCCTATTTATGGGTGTTTTAAGGGCCTTATTTCATATTCCGCTGACCCTACTGGCGGATGCTGGTCTAGGGAGGTTGTCTATTGCCTGGCCGTGTAGATCGGGGGTGGTAATGGACCTTTTGAGATTTCGTAGCTTTTTAGGAACCATGTATGGTTATTGTTGTCATCTGGTGGGAGTCTTTGAAGGAGTTTTTGCTTTGATCGTTCTATCCTTTGCCAGATTCTGCTTGCCAGGGTGTGCAGCTGCTGGTTGATGGGTTTCATTCTCAGGTCTCTATGTATCTCAGCTGTGGTTCGCCTGTGACGAATCTTAGGACTTCATTTTGGACCACCTGTAATTTTAATATTTGAGTGGTGCTCATAGCATGAAGAGGTATTGCTGGGTAAGTTAATATCGGTGTGATAAATGATGTCACCAAGCGGAGTTTTATTTTCTCAGGAAGCGCTTTAAAGCGGTGTAGTTTTCTCAGCTCTCTTCTTGCTTTTTCCTTCCTGCTGTGGACATGATGGGAGTAACCTGTCGTGGATATATGTAGACCCAGGAGGGTGCCTCTGCTTTTGTATTCTATCTGGGCATTATTGGTTACTAATGGATGGGTTTTCTTTCTGCATAGGGGTATCACTGTGAATTTCGGGAGACTGGTTTGGATTTTCCATTGTTTTTCGTAGTTATTTACCCTTTCTAATTCCCGCCTGGTGTTGCCGACCTGTAACGCTCGCGATTTTCCTTGGTGTTGTTATTTGAGTGATGTCGTCTGCATACATAATATCTTCGTTACCTATTCTAGTGGGAGGCAGGGTGTCACTTGTGTAGATAATATATAGGGTGGGGGAGAGGACACTTCCCTGAGGGACTCCACTCATGAGTGGGAAGGTCTCTCCTGTGTGTTGTCCTACCCTCAGTCTAGCATTTCTGTCGTCCAGAAAGTTGCAAAGCAACTTTTCAATGTTGGTGGGAAGTCCGAGTTGGAGGATCTTATATTTTAGACCGTCGTGCCAGACTTTGTCAAATGCCTTCGCTACATCCCGGAGAGTTAGATTACATTGTCTACCACTCGCCGCGGCTCTGGCTATGTTTTCGCATGCCAGGGCTATCGCTGTTGTGGTGGACTTCCCTTTCCTGAACCCGAATTGTCTGCAGTTGACTCTGTTGTTTCCAAGTGATTTCTCAGACGGTTATTGATGATTTTTTCTAGGATTTTTCCAGGTACTTCGAGGAGGGAGATCAGTCTGTAGTTTAGTGGGACGGCAGGGTTCTTTCCTTGTTTTGGTGTGAAGGTAATAATGGCCTCTTTGAATTTAGTTGGGAAGTAGCCCAAGGCCAGGCAAGCGTTCATTGTGGTTCTCAGTCTCTCCATGGCCGGGTTGTTTATGTGGCTGAGGATCTCCTTGGTGATGCCTGAATAACCAGGGGCTTTATTCTTGGTATTGGAGATGGCTCTGTTGAGTTCTTCCGAGGTGATTGGTTTGGACAATGGGCTGTCCGCTCTCAGATCCTCCCGTATGATTTCAGGGGAAGGCTGAGTGCGGTGTATCTGACCCCGGAGTTCATCAAGGACGAGCTCCTCGTGGGTACCATCGAATCCCCTATTCTCTTCATTAGTGATTCGGAAGATGTTCCTCCATATGTCACTGAATATGGGTTCTTTGTCTTGGTCGTCATATATTTTACTTCCTGCGTGGTCAGTTATATATGATGACTCGTTATGGCTGCAACCTTTCAATCTCTTAACTCGACGCCAGAACTCTCCTGGATCGTTGTACTGTATGTATGCGAGAGTTGTTCAACTATTTCGGCCCATTTAAGGTTGCTTTGTTCCAGAGATCTTGTTTTTATTTCCTCCCGGATTCTTCTGTATGTATTGTACCTTACGATGTCCCAACCATGGGTCTCGGCTCTCTGTTGTAGCAGTTGGAACTGGTTTGTGAGGGCTATGAGTTCTGGAGTCTGTTGTGGGTGTGGTTGAGTTCTGTTGCGTTTGAGAGGCGTGGCCTCCTGGTAAGCTGTTCCTATGGCTTCACACCATGTGTTGATTTCTTCGTCTATTATGTTCACCGGCTGCCTGTCTATGGTCTGCAGGATTGTCATGCCCTTGACCTCAAGTTCGGCTGTAGCTTTATCGTTGAATAAGTCCCAGTCGGTCTGCTTGGCGATTCTCCGTGGTGGAGTTGGTATAGTTATTGGTGTTGCTGAGATGGTCATGATTATAGGTAGGTGGTCGCTGGAGGTTACAGGGCCTTGTTCAAAGAGATAATTGTGGAAGCATCTGCCGTTTGTTATTGTTATATCTGGAGTAGTGGCTGAGTTCCTTCTGTAGAAAGAGGGGAAGTCTGGGCCTATTAGTTGGGCTTTTTTGTTTGTTATGAAGCCAGCGAGGCCTCTTCCAACATTGTTAGTTGTCCTCTTGCCGTCTAGTAGAGGATGTCTGGCGTTCATGTCTCCAATGATGTAGGTTGGGTGGTGATATGATAGGAGTCTGTGGAAGTCCCCGTAAGGCAGGTAGTCCCTGCGGTCAAGTTGATTTGAACAGCGAGAGTTTCAGAGGTGAAGTCGTCTATGATTCTGTGGTGGACATCTCTTTTTACGGCGATGGCCACCCCGTCATTTGGCTCCTCTGATAGATTGGATTCATGGATCATGTAACCAAATATTTTCAGTTCCTCAGCCGCCTTTTGACCGTGTGAGTTTATGAGTATAATATCTGCTTCGACTTGGTTGTATTGGCTGGACATACTGAATTTATTAGTTCTCCAGTGGAGGACGTTATGTTGCATTATTTTCACTGCCTTACGAAGGCTAGGCTACCTGTGATGTGTCTTTATTTGGTGAGGCTACCTTTGATATGTGTTTATTTGGTGAGGCTACCTTTGATGAGGGTCTTTATTAGCAGGGCCGGATTCAGGAGAGGGCAAAGTGGGCATCTGCCCAGGGGCCTCCACATACAGTATTACAATATTTTATTTACTGTATTTGTTTATTCATTTGAATTATTTTTATTTTCATTCTTTAAAATTCATGTTTATTTTTGACATGTGCGGTAGTAGCTATATCAGGGCTGGTCGACTTGAATCCACATGAATGACTCCAGTCATGTCTCACTTTTGTGTGTGTGTGTGTGTTGGGAATTTGTACACTATCAATAAATATACAGTTAATTAAAAATTTCTCAATGTTCTAATTTCCTCAATATAACTGCATATGGCTTCAAAATTCTCCAAAGAAGTGTTCAAATTTCACAATTTTCCCGGGGGGGCGCTGTAAGCCCCCAGAATTCCCAGATGTTTAGGCTCACTTCACTCGCCACCCCACCCTCTAGGGTAGTTATAATGAGGGAGGCCTCCACAAAGAGGCTGCCCATGGGCCTCCACAGGTCTAAATCCAACACTGTTTATTAGGCTAGGGTACTGTGATGTGACTTTGTTAGGCTAGGCTACCCGTGATGTGTGTCTTTGTTAAAGGAGGCTACCTTTGATGAGGGTCTTTATTAGGCTAGGGTACTGTGATGTGTGTCTTTGTTAGGCTAGGCTACCTGTAATATGTGTCTTTGTAAGGCGAGGCTACTTTTGATGAGGGTATTTGTAAGGCTAGGCTATCAGTAATGTGTGGCCATATTTTTTTCACTAGTTTACGGGTGGTGAGCCTCGGATATAACAAGTGATGACAATTGAATCGCCATATATTTTCACCCATTGCCCATTGTTTGTCATCATGCAAATAAAATTGTATCATATGTAGATAAGACACCCCAGCTTGTTTTGCGCGATGCTTACACATCCCATCCCAGCCCTTGGGTGTTTAATCATCAGGTGAGCTGGGATGCCCTATCTTCATGTGATTCAACATGATTAAAGCCCCACCAAACACGTTCCAGAAGCTGCAGGAATGTCAGCCCAAACAAGTGACTCTGGTGCTGAGAGCGAGGCACCAGAAGCCAAGATTCCAGATTCCAGTAAGAAGGAACAAGAAGATGGCGAGGAGCTGCCCTTCATTGAAGCCTTCAGTGTCGTGTTTAATGTGGCCAGTTGCCTTGGTCTTCATATTGTCAGAAGAGACGACCTCGGTGTGTATAGAATAAGTTGGTGGAAGGTAGGGACATCTTTGTTGTCCTTGATCAATGCGACAATTGGTTTCCTGACAGTTGGCTACATCTACCTGTATACAGGCATCTCTTACTACCAACAGGTCATGCTATTGCCGATCGTATGTGGATGTTTCTTCTATTTTTACGGATACATCTTGTGGATGCACACATTCCGTGATTACATTAACTACCTAACCGTACTGGAGGCCAACAATCTGAAGATTAAGAAAAATGTCTACCTGCCACTCATCATCATCGGCATTGCCGTTTACTCCTTTATTTATACTTGTTGCCTGTCCTTAACCGCCCTCTTGCCCAGAGAAACTGTTTACGAACTTCAAAGTATTTTATTTGTCATATCCTTCATCCCCAGCTTCCTTGATCTACACATGTTTTCCTTTGTGAAGTTACTGATAACAGCTTTGGCCAAGCTAGAAAAGAGAGTACGGGGAATCGAACACTGGACCACAGACGACGTCAGCCTAGTGGCCCAAGAATGGCTACGCCTGTGCAATCTCTTCCACGAACACAACAAGGTTGGTTTCACACACAGTCAATTACTTTTTGCAGCATTTTCACTAACAAGTGCACGAAATAAATTACACGTTAATTATAACCGCCCCTTCTAAAGAGATACTGTATATCAACTCTGATTCCATAGGCATAGGAGTTTCCGTATCAGATATGAAAACTTCCGTTCCACAGATATAGCAGCTTCATTTCCCCTTATAAAGCAGCTACAACTCCCCAGTTCCTTAAGTTAGTTTTATCCATCTAAGACTCTAAGTCCTTTGACTCAATACTGTAGGTTTTATGTTGTAAACATAGCAACTTGTATGCTCTTGAGAGCAACCAGTATTTTTTCTACATAGCAGCATCCATCCTACAGAACTTCCAGTATCCTCTGCACATTCGCCTCGTATTGCTCATGGTACAAGCGATGACATTTATGTTCTCGTTGGTGGTGTTGCGGCCGTCAAAGTCCTGCCTAACCCTGATGCTGCCTACACTTGTGCCCCTCGCCGAACTCTCCATCCGCTTCCTCTGTGTTTGTCTCGTTGGCGAAATTCTCCGCAAAACAGTGAGTAAACATAACGAAGAAGTTTGCATCAGGATGAGTTTATAACTAGCGATCACTAGGATGTAATCATGCCATACATTTCTGTAGTTTTGCTTAAAAACCTGAGGATTTTGATTGGAACATTAAATACTAGCTGGGGGTAGCCAGCATTTCCTGGGTCTTAAGAATTACAAGGACAACTCATAGCCTATAGCCTATGTCTGTCTTTGGCCAAAATTAAACTCACCAACAAAATAAGTAAAATAAATCATCTAAAAATGCCACACAACCCTCCCACAAACAGCCCTGCCTAGCTAACAAAGAGAATTGGAGGCACACATACAAAGATGAATGGACAATGAACAAAATGGAAATACTCCTCCTGCTTAAGCTCGACTCCTCTCCCAGTCTGAGACCATATGTTTCAAACTGCCGGAGATTCTGTTGAAAATTAAGGATGAACAATAAATACGTGTAATGTGAGAGTAAATTTTCAAAGTTCAAACTGTGATAATTTCACTAAAATTGCACCAAATAACCCAAAGAAGCCAACTGTACATTTACATTAGGTTCATGTCCTATAAATGCACAAAGGATTAAAATACTGCTAATTCTCCACACAGAACTATGGTATGGTGGAAGGCCTGCGTGAGGCAGTGTGTGCGGCTCCAAGTGGTGATGAGGAGGTACACTGTAGCAAGCAAGTACAATTACGCCAGTCCCTCCACAACCTCCTCTCACGTATGGAGGCCAGACCTCTCACCTTCCAAATCTGGGGCATGGACCCGTGAGTTTCTGAGGTTATTGAAAAGGTAGTTTATTAGTAAAGATAGTTAGCCTCGGATGGATAACTCACAGTACGTACATCCACAGCACTTAGATGCCAAGTAGGTGCTGTTTTGAAATATTTGTATCTAATCTATGACCAGTTTAAATAATCCTGTGACAAATAATGACTACCTAATAACTATTACTGAATTAAAATTAAAAGTGCAGATCAAGCTTGTTACATAATTAACCCGTGTCATTGATAAGCTATGTATTGTTTACAGGCTGTGTGGCAGTACCTTCGTGCAGAACACTGGTCTGGTGATAACCTACCTGGTTATTTTGCTGCAGCTGAGATCACCTTTTGACTTAACCACAGACTCCTTCACATTCCAGTGCTTCTCCAACGATACCCTGTGAACACCCACTCTTAGCTATCACCCACATCAAGTGCCTTTCACTAACTTTATATACGAGGCTGCACTGACTGTGCAACCAGATAAGAAGGGTCATTTCCTTGTGATGTTTAGCCATCTCTTATGGTCTTTTGGACACAAGCATCACCTTTTCCTTGCTCCCCTTTTCAGTACACTTATCCTGATAGATAATTCAGACTCAAAGGAAAAACCTGAACTGGTGACTTTTATGAACTTTATTGTTGTGGAGGTGAGAGGTTTGCGCAGTGAGTATGAATAAGGTGAAGGGTTGGCGAGTGCAGCATACAGAAGAGTACAATACCATTATACAGTAAACCATCTAGAGTGGACTGTTTCACCATAAAGAAGTGTCTTTATCAACTTAACAGCCATATCCACTGTTGATATGTTTACTGTCACCCAGTAAACAATAAAAACTACAGAAGCTTTCCTGTTTAGATGGCTGTATATAGGTATTTGAAAACTTTTTTTTTTACTGTATTAATATTATCTGTGGTAAAATACCTGTTCTATTTAATTATCAGTTATGATGTCATATTCTTTCATGGTAGATAACACTCTACCATTTACAGTTTTCTCATTATGCTAGGGAGGAGCCAGAGGTCTCTAGGTTGATGGGGTATGAACATAACTTTGAGATGAGAAACTTGCTCAGTAAATAAAACAAAATTTAAAGCTATTAAATACACTGTAGACCAAGTAAGAATTTTGTATATTAGAGATGTATTTCATCCTTTATAAATTGTCTAATGAAAGATTAGTACAGGTACAAGAACCCTTCCCCCATTTCTATGAAGTATGAATACAATATGCAACAAATAACTATTTATAATATATAAAACAATCAGGTCACTTTTATTTTCCTTCTGTAAAATTTTAAACAGATTAAGCTATTCAGAAGATACTTGACCAATGGGATGAGGTAATGGTAGAAGCAAAAGGTGGCCACCAACAAAAAGGCAAAGACATCAAGACCAAAGAACTGGCAGAAATTGAGGTGTCTGGCAGAGAACTTGAGGTATTGAGCCCCTTGGTTGGCAGCCACATGCTCCACTAGCCAGACAGCATGACGTAGTGGCTCCAGTGGGTGATTTCGCACAATTCTTGACAGACGGCGTGTGTTCTCCCGGTAACTAGAAGCAAATCACAAAGCATACTAGACTGTCTAAGCCAAGGGGCCTCCCTACCCAGTGCTGTACAGAACAGTATTGTGATACTGAGTACTGACTTCAATCCGATTACCACTTATTCTTTATTAACCTTATCATTCCTAACTAAACAGAACAGAACAGGTTCAATGAACCTCACAAAGAACCAATTCGAATAAAGTAAATAAGATTTCCTCAGTCTGAATATTTCATAAGCTCATTTTGGAACTTATGACAATAACTTGACTCATTCCAAATCTATCGGCTTCCCTTCAGTTCTTTGGCATAATCCACTGACATACTCCTCAACCCTTATATAATCCTTTATGGACATCTTTTAACATATCAGTTATCCCTTTGTCTACTTTAATTCCATAAATTGATAATTACTGTACTGTACTGTATAAATACATAAATGAGCAAAATTTAGTATGTAGGGTATCTAGAAACTGGCCAATCAGTGGCAAATAGGCAAAGGCTTAATGTATAATGTAGTTTAGACCGATAAACTTAGTACAATCTGTTGGAATTACAAAGAAATTAAGAAAAAAACTTGGAAATTTGAGATGTGGGTTAGGAAAAAGGATGAGCAGGACAAGAGGATGTATGCCAGATCCAGGAACCAAGCAAAGTCAGAGTGTAGAAGGGCTGAAAAAGAGTTCCTGAGGCGGATTGCAAGTGAGGTCAAGTCAAACCCTAAGACGTTTTACCGCTACGCAAAGTCAAAATTAAAAAGGCGAGTAGGCATGACCTGTGGCTTGAAGATGGTTGTTACACAGATTCTGACCAGGACAAGGCAGAGGTGTTGAACAAATTCTTTTCCATGGTGTTCACAAGAGAGGATGTGAACAATCTTCCTGCGTTTGAGGACAGACGGTTTGACACAGCATTGACCCACATTGTGATCTCAGAAGAGGGTATAAGAAATAAATTGTCAAAGCGAAAGGTTCATAAGAGTCCCGGCCCTGACATGGTGCATCCCAGAATGCTAAGAGAGTTGTGCAATGAGCTTGCTGAACCCTGAATATCTTATTCTGTGTATGCCTGGAAGAGCAAAGGTCCCCAGTGATTGGAAAATGGCTTATACGAGTCCTATATTCAAGAAGAGCGATCGTCATTCCACGAATAATTGCAGACCAGCAAGTCTGACCAGCATAGTGTGTAAAGTACTAGAGAGCATTATAAGAGATCCCATGATGGAACATCTACTACGAAACAACCCTGTAAAGGATTGCCAACATGGCTTTATGCCGGGAAGATCCTGCTTAACACAATTACTCAAGGTACTTGATGTTTGGACCCAATTGGCAGTGATTAATGGTACAAAATTGTTAAGTGTACCTGTGAAAAGTGGGGTAACACAGGGTAGTGAATTGGGCCTGTTGTTTGTTTGTTTATTTCATAAATGGCATTCTTGAGGCTATACACTCCTCCATACAAATGTTTTGGACGATGCCAAGTTATTCAGGGGAATTAAGAACCAAACAAACTGTTAAGAGCTGCAGAAAGATCTCTTTGAGCTTCAATAGTATTCAAAGAATTGACTGCTGAGATTCAATGTCACGAAGTGCAAGAGGATGCACCTGGGTCGTATCAATGGTAAGGAGGTGTATCACATGTCCCAACGGGATGAAGAAACAGCATTAATAGAGATCGAATGAGAAAAGGACCTGGGTGTATATATGTTGACAATGAAAGAAAGTTCTCGGACCATTATGAGAAGAAGGAGAATCAACCAACTAAACTAGTAGGTCTTATAAGGTCGTTCAGATATCGAGATGGTCCATCCCTCGTAATGATCTTCAAGAGTGAGGTGCTTCCCTGCCTGGAGTACTCTCACTCTGTCTGGTCCCCGAGATATGCTAGAAACTGTCAGTTGACTGAAAATGTCAAAGAAGGGCCACCAGGCTGGTGCCTGCACTTCGTCACCTCAGTTGTTCAGAGAGATTAGAGCGCCTGCAACTGCCTAGCTTATACTACAGACGGGCAAGGGGTGACCTAATTCAGGTATATAATCCTCTCAGTCGAATGTCCGTACCTGGAGCTGGTGGACGCCCACCCCACAAGGGGTCACATCTCAAGGTTGAAGAAGCCATAAATCCAAAAAACTGTGAGGACAAACTTTTTCAGAATGAGAATTGTGAACTCTTGGAACAACCTGCCAGAGTGTTGTGTCTGCAACGAGTGTGAGCCCTTTCAAGAACAGACTTAACCAACACTGGAGAAGGTTCAGATACATTCAGGAGCCAGTGCATGCCCAGTACTTGCCAACAGTGCGTAACAGAGACGTGACCGATCGCCCATGCGCCTAATGAGTTGATCAGTCCCGAAGAGGATAAAAGCAAAACTAAAAGTTATGAGAATAGTTGACCAAGAACATACAATCGTATTGTTACCCTGGAGCATGATTTAAGTTTTTTTCGTTATTAAATGACCAGTTTGTAGTTATTCTCACCTGGCGGTGTTGAGGACATGGACAATAGCCTGGTAGATTTCCTCTTCGGAGGCCTCCTTGTGGACACCCTTAGCCACACCACGCTCCTCCAGCCTTACAAGGACATCCTGCTGGTCAGCGAAGACTGGCATGCCCACCATAGGGACGCCATGATGCAATGCCTCCAACACCCCGTGCATCCCACAGTGTGTGAAGAACAACACTATATTGTTGTGACCTGTTGGAACATGATGTACATTTATGTTTACAATCTCTTTAAAACAAACTCATCTTAAAAGAGTCTAGTAATAAACAGCTATATCTCTTATTGCCCGGAGTCTTCCAATTAAAAAGATGTCTCTCTCTATATGTTTAATTGTTTATAACTGTAGTGTAACCATCGAGAAAATGTGCTTTACAATATTAGTTGTTGAAGCACAGTACAGGAAGTCACCGAATTATGTCACTTCAATTTGCTTCATTTTGATGAAATGTCATTAACAAATTAGGGAAAAAAATTTCTATACAAATCGTGCCTGTCCGATGACCACTACAAAAGTTTAAACCATGTACTTGAAATATCATGTGGCAACGCTGCCAACAGCCAAGCGTTTGAAGCAGCAAACCCGTGTCCCCCAGCCACAGAAACCACCTCAACCAGAGTATCGAATAATACTGTATTTTTTCAGAATTTTTCAAAAGACCCCTGACTTAACCATAAATGGAAAATGTTCTGTAGTATCCCTGCAATTACACATACAAGTATTCTCTTCTCTTCCCTTCCTCCCCCCCCTAATCCTTCCCCATTTCTTTCCTTTTATTCTTTTCCTATGCCTTTCCTTCTTCCTCCTCCTCATCCTCCTTTCCTTTTGCTCCCCTTCCCTACTCTTTCCTCCCACCTTCTTAGTGTCTATGACTCACCTAATACATCCTGTTGGGGGATCCAGGTGACGATCTTCACATTGGGGGGCGGGGTTGGGTGGCTCCCCTCCAGTTTCATCAACACCTGTGGCAATATGAGTAGCTTATTATCCTGATGACAGGTAGGAATTGTTGTATAGTAATGGCTTTGTTGACCTTTCAAAATCAGGGAATTGTAAAACATGCAAATGAAAACCCTTTGATATCACCTAAAATCCACTTTCTCCCACTAACCCTCAACATCCATACTCAACACTGGAACTTGAAAGCACAAACACGGACACTCACCCGCTGTGGAAGTCGACTAAAGGCGTTCATCAAGTTGTTGAAGACGTGAATGGGGACAATGTGGGAGTTGAAGATGAAGCCCAAGCTGAAGAGTATGGTGCCAGCTGACCCTGACCCTGCCACCCAAGCCTCCAGCTCCTTTGTCGGAAAATACACAGGAAAAATAAATAAATACAGTAAAGAGCATGATAATGAAGCTATATATTTATACATTATACTGTACATAGGTATAAAAATTTGTAGAAAAGACCTTTCAATCTTCACAAAATCAGACAGCAGGTTCTTCTAGCCAAATATCCTACTGATGTATAATTTAATCTCTTTCCTCTTCAATCATAGTACAGTACTGTATCATGAAGTGGCAAATAGAATACAATGAATCAATTTCAATTAAGTATGGAGTGCCCTTGAGTTCTAGTCTCTTCCCTCAATCCTAATAATCAACTCCATTCTCAACTTCAATTTCACAGTTATCATACTCAGAGGAATGATTACCTTGTAACATTTAATGCTTTAAAACATTAGCACTAATAATCTCTTACAAGCAAGGAAAAACCAATGTAATGCATTTGATGGGATGGTTAGTTAACAAGGCAGTAGAGGTAAGAAACACACCTGAGTGAGGGGATGAGGGGGGTGGACCTGTAGACCCCCAATATTGATGAAGGAGGGAGGGAGGAGTCTTGGGTAGTCGAGGGCTGGGTGAGAGTTAATCAGCATCCCAGACATCTCACTCAGCAGTGTTGACGGCGAGGGGCACAAAGGCAAGTACTGACTAATCTGGTACCCTGTCACCCCAAACTGCATCTGTAGAGGAATAAAAAATTTTGAGTGGTGGGTAGGATAGATAAGTGGTGTGCAAGATAGTGAGGATCCTCCAGTGAAATTGAACCATTGAGCTTGGTTAGGATATTTCCAAGATAAATATCACTCTTGAGTAATTTACTGATCTCTGGGTAGGAGCCTGACCCACCAATGGTGGGCTACCATGCTGGTCTATATACCAGCATGATACAAAAACCCACCTTGATTTTGTGACTCGGCATGACCCAGTAAACTCCATCTCAGACTGACTCTATGACCTTGTCCTGCAACTTATCTTGACCCTATGACCTATCTTTTCTCACTTGACACAACATGGCTTTTTGACTCCTAATCCCAGAACACTAAACAACGATGTGGCCCCAATCTATCCCAATTATACAAGTTGATCCCACACTGACCTGCATAATGAGGTGGCTGCCAATTGAATGGAGGTGGTTGATGATGCGCTGGGAGAAGGTCATCACACTGCGGTAATGAGAGAGGATGAGGGGGACGGAGGAGGGCGGGCTGAAGGCTGTGGTGTACTGTGGTTCACCACCTGCAAATGTGAATGCCCAGTACCCAACTGATGGTACACCTGAAAGGGAAGGAAAGGTAATAGTGAGAGCATAGTAGTTGTACAAATCCCTTACAATTCTGTGTAGGAGGAAGAAAAATTTGATAGCACTACACAGCCAGAACTGCAAATTTATTTTCAAAATTTAAACAGTACAGTACTAAGTAAGCTCAAGAGTATTCTTTGTATATTGAGGAACTTAACTACTAATAAAGAAGTATTTTGTAATAAGATATTGACAAGGAAACTTAGATTATCAAATGGATATGAAACATACAATGGAGACTCCTTTCCAGCACTATACTATAACCAGTCTTGAAAGATGCAGGAGATATGAATAGTATCCACGTTACACTAAACAAAACGCCATGTAATAAACATAATGCCAAATACAATACTACAATCAGAAGCAATTAACTCACACCATCTTAAAATCACATACTGTACTTATTTCTGCACACTCAGTCCATTTCTTTAACCTCTTTACTACGAGGATACCACTTTTAATATTCCAGCTCAGAGGCGACCCCATACACAAGGGGTTAACACACTCACTTTCATTACATCATCAATACATTATCAATAAAAACCAACAGTATATATACATATACCCTCTACAGTACATTCACACTTATATATACTGGACTTTTTTTTTTTTTTTTTACGGGAATTAGCCCACCCGGGCACAGGTCTTACGACCCACATCGGGGCCTACCCAACACACACCCACCTAGGTCATGAGCCAGGGCCAGACTACACTCATTATAAATGAGATCGACAATGGCAACATGGAAGTTCTGTTCTCTGAGGTGTCGATGGAGGTTAGTGTTCCCCAGCAGGGTGCGACAGAAGGCTGCCACAGTCAAGAAGGCGTCCACTGGCAGTGCAGTGAATGAGGTGCCTCGACTCCACATTAACTTCTGGGGCATGATGAAGCTGATGATTGGGAAGGAAATGGGTCAGTAAGAGGCAGGAAAAGAGGGGAAGAAAGTGGGAGGCGGGATGATAAGAAAGTGGAAAAAACAATAAGACTGAAAGAAAGAGAGAAGAGAGAAAGAGAAAAAAGGAAGGGAAGAACATGAGTCTTTGGAGGGTTGATAGATTTATAAATACAGTAGATGAATAAACAAAGACAATAAATCATAAAACTGTAGACACACACACACACACATCTATCCAGAGAAATTTCGTGACTCACAAAAATGATAAGCTATACAAAAATAAGGTGTTTTTAACCCATGTTTGGAATACCGTGCTGTCACCCTGCCTGATCCCCAAGATATGCTAGAGACTGACTGAAATGTCAAGAAGAAGGCCACCAGACAGGTGCCCTTACTATTGCACTTCAGTTACCCAGAGGGATTACAACACCTGCAACTGCCCAGTTTCTAATATAGGCGGACAAGGGGTGGCTTAATATAAGGCTATAAACACCTCTGAAGACATTACTCAGTCGAGTGTTTATACAGTACAGCTCCTCCCCGACTTACGGCGGGGTTAGGGACCCAAATCCAGGTCGTAAGTCGAAAATGCTTAAATAATACATAAATCTAAATTGGGTGTCTCTTTTTCTTCTCAGCACCACAAAACTCTCACTTTTAAGCTTGCCAGCCATTTTAAAGTGAACTACAAACGACAATTTTGTCTGTGTACTGACGTTGGGACTGGAAAATACGTAATTTGACAAAATTTTGGTACGATTGAGGCAGGTCGTAAGTCAAGTAGGTCGTAAGTCGGGGAGGAGCTGGAACTGGCAGATGCCCATCCCACTAGGGGTCACAGCTTATGGTTGAAGAAGCCACAGGTTCAGAACAGAAGATTGTCAGGGCAAAAGCTTTTGGAGTGTGAGCACATTCGAGACCAGACCTAACTAACATTGGCACAGGTACAAATACATTCTGGAGCCAGTATTTGCCAAGAGTGCATAATAAAGACATGACCGTTCGCCCAAGTGGCTAACAGGTTGACAAGTGGTGAAGAGGATAAAATAGAGAAAAATACCTGTCCGCATGAATAAAGTTATAAATTGACCTTTGTATGCAAAATAAAATAATGGAAACACAAAACACAAACTAAATACAGTACCTAAGGATTATACTCTTTTGTACAATACCATCAAGACATTAACGAAATTATTAGGAGGCTTGTTCCACATAAGTCGGACTCAAAGCTAGAAAGGAAATTTGGAAAATTAAAGGTAGATTTAAAAATTGAGTCAGTTAGACTCACTTAGACCAGTAGTTAGGGGGCATCAGATGTTTAATTAGGTTGTGAGAGGCTGTTAAGACATCCACGTCACTCATTGTAAGACAGATTAAGGAAGTGGGAGGGGGAGTACCTGGCCCTCTCCTCGACAGTCATGTGAGGCACTGAGCCGTCCGTGTTGTTAATGGCCAGAACGATCTCGGTGATACCATGGTGGTTGGCTGGGGGGTAGTGGTGAGTATCCTGCCACCTGACCACTGTCACCTGTAGTGATACAGTATTGTACACTCATTCAGTTATATTCCCCAAGCTGTGTATCTCTTGAGGCAACAAGAACAGTAAGGTAAAACAGTCTGAAGTACAAGATACAGTAGAGGATAAATAAAGCGTTGTTCTACAAACAATAATACTAGTATTACTGAAGTTACTATTTGCCCAGCCTTGATTAATTAGGGTGACAAAAAATTACCACCCATGAATACATCCCCATTTTATAAATCAATGAGAAAACAGTTTTTGCTCAACGAATTTTCCCTCAATAAAATCTTTTAGAAGACAACCAATACTTCTAACACAATGAATTTAACTTTGCATTTTGTTATTACTGCCAACTACTTGTAAGCTGTACACAACTTATTTACATCAAGACATCACAAGCAGCTCTTTACTAACCTGGTGACCCTTAGCTACCAGTGCCCGAGCCAAGGACCTTAACGTGAGAACATGGGATGCCGCGTACATGGGGTGGAGCATCAGCACCCTTTTGCCCCCATTCTCTGCGTCAACACCTACATCACCAGTAGTGGCATCAGTGTTCACAGCCACGAAGCCCACCAATACCAGCACCAAGATCATCGTCCTCCCACTCACCTGCAACACATGCCACAGTTAGTATAGTATAATATTGCTTCTGACTATATTATAATAAGTGGCCAGTAATACATCTTATATTACACTTAAAAAACAGTTACAAAGAAGAATTATTTTTGTATCGGGAAAAGAATATGAAAAAGGCAATAGGGAGAATGTGAAGTGAGACAGGCGGAAGATGTGGTGCAAGATAATTACTGCACAGCGACCAGGATTGAGGTATTAGAGGAAGTAAGAAGTAATAGAGGAGACACTTCAGGGAAAGAGAGCCGGGAATAATGGAGATAATGGTTGAGGCGGCACTTAACCGACTCGTTCCTACAACGACAGCAGGTACAGACAATTTGTCATGTGAGAAAGGAGCTGCAAGCCACAGGCAGTTGTGGGGTCACCTTGCTTCTTCACCAATACAGTAAACTCTTAACATCAGAGACAGGCTCCAGAAACTGCCATAAGCCTGTCAATAGACCAATACAAAAAAGGAGAGACCTGGTTAAGCCATGAAAGTGAGATTTTGGAAAGCACCCCTGTTAGCTAGATTCTGAAGGATAGTGGAATAATCTTGAGTGAAGCAAGAGTGATGGCTGCAGTACAGTGGAGCATATCCTCACCTTGAATTCTTTTGTAAAAGGAAAAATACAGGGATTACTACAACAAAATCTCCACTATAAAGTTTTAAAGAAGACTTTGATATATGACGACAGTGACTGTAGAGAGGCCAAGAAAATTTCTTGGAAATATATATACAAAATCATTAAAAATATGAATAGTAAAAGCCTGAACGTAGCTTAGTGAATGACTATCTGGCGAATGTTGGGTATCACAAGGCAGCTTTTTCTCTCAAACTTTATTTTTTCCACTTCTCTGAATTCACAAAAATTAAACTCCGATAATAATTGGTATCGAAAGCATTTATAGATGGGGAAAAAATCTTGGGCTTCAACAGCTAAGGTTAGTAATGACACTAATCCATTAAAACAGTTAAAACACTGAGAGGCAAAACTCCCCGTATAATCAACAGATATTTCATGCCTTCAGATTTTAAGGTTTTCTCCCCAAATGGACCGAATCTTTGTGAACTGACAAGCTTGTTCTATACGCAAACAATGTAGTCTCAATTCTTCTTCAGATATGTTACAGCTAACACACTGTATAAATTCATACGTAGCAGATTATCGTAAATAAGAATACAATTCCTTACAAAGAAAATAATGATAGTCTTTGCTGCAGATGGTGCCAACGCAATACAGTTTAGGAGTCGTCATTCACTTTCATTATTAGTGACGAATGATATTTCCCATTTATTCATAATGAAACGCACCTGCCATTTCTTTGCCTATGTTCTTCATAAGCGTATTTGAAATTACCACCATCAACATACGCTGCTGCCTAAATACATAAGACAACATTTCAACAGCAAGTTACACCAAATTGTATGTATTTAGCCATTACTATACAATTTTTTATCTAGTTTATAGATTTACCTGATTTTGGTGGAATTCTACAAATTCTAAACTTTTACAACGGCATATCTGGTCACGGGAGACAACAGCACCATGGAATCTGAGAGTCGAAGATGAGAAAATTTAAAGCAATGGAGATGACATGCTTCGGGAAAATCTTGGGAAAATCACGACGACAATCAAAAACAGTAATGTGGAAGATGACACTGTAGAACTCGATCAACAAATCATGAAACTATATGCTCATGTAAAAGAAACGCATTGATAAAGAATGTGAAAGACACACAGTGATAAAAGGAAGAGTCAACGGAAACAGAAGTTGGAGAAAGCCGAAGTGACTATGGGGTGTTTAGGTGATTGTTACAAGAGGCGACCGGATGTGATGGAAGGCTGTCTCAAGACAATACACGCACAGATGTCACAACGGTCGAAGTCATTACTACAGTATGTTATTATGATTCACACCCTGGAAGATTATACCAAGTTATGATGATTATTTTGGTAAATTAAACCAGGTTAAGATGATTCACTTTCCAGTACATTAAAAATTATATATATATATATATATATATATATATATATATATATATATATATATATATATATATATATATATATATATAGTGAAATAAAATTGATAATGACTTATATTAAGCAGTAAAATACAGCAGCTACATTAATCTAAATTCATGGCTGTACATTGTTGTTGCTGTTGGTGGTGGTGTTGTTTGGAACCTTGGGGAAGCAGGTTGACAGCAATTGCACAAGCAGTGTGGTGGTGCAATACCGTACGTGTTACAAGAAACGATCATTGCCCTCAGATGTGCGTGGGGGAGTCGACGTGAAGTAATTCCCCTCTCCCTCTCTCTCTTCTTTTCCTTCTTCTTCAAATACACTTGTTCACTGCATTGTTATATCCATGGCCCTGATAATCTGATACCTAACCGTTATCAAGATCAGCCTGCAGAACAAAATATGATGACAGATATAGTTTGGATGGTCTGAGCTTATACTGTACACTCCAGATCAGCTGTTGAAGGTAAACTTAACGTAGACAGGAAAGAAAAGAAACAAATAAACTAACAAAAAGGTGGACAAATATATCGATAAAAAGAATAGAGGAGACAGCGAGGGAGAAAAAAATTACCCAGAGAAAGACAGATATTTTAATACCGAGAAAAGGAAAAGAATAGATATAAATTGAGAGAGAGGGGGGCTAGGATGGGGGTGGGCTAATCTACATTCAGACTCTCCACCGCCCATGACAATATCTTAACGGTGATTCATAAACGTTCACGCCCCCACAAAAAAATGCACCTCTTATGCATACCCCGACCTCCTCTTCAAATTAATACCTCTAACCCCCCCTCCCCCAAGACGATCCCATCATCTCCTTATAATTCTTTCGTTCATGGGAGTGGAGTAAGCGATGGCAGCTGACCACTAAAAATACACGGAACCAACGAACATTTTTACCCCGGAGTTCGTTAGCCTCATCATCACGGGAAAAAAAGCTTACTGTGCCTGTATTTTATAAAGCCGAATCACGGCTGTTACATGACACTATATGTGGTTAGAACACATATGTATTGAATTAATTTATGATTTTCCTTGTTATCTTTACCTATGATGTATGAAAAAAAATTACACGTACAGCAAATTTTGTAGACGAAATATCTTACACGGCATTGGTTTATTGTTGGCATTGAAGTGGAGCGCACCTTAATAAAGTGTGTTCCTGCATCATTTTTACCTGGTGAAAAAAGGTCGTAACTTTACAAACAAAAGATTGAAATTAAATGGTCAAAAGCGTTATTCGGCCAAGTGCAGTATGTTCTGAAACCTTTTCGAGTACGACCCAAATTCGAATACCTCGGAACTTCGCGACCCATTGATTCAAATAAAAAAAAAATAACCATCAAATCAAATTTATTGTCATATCAACTCGCAATTTAATAGCAAGGTACAATTTATCTCTGGAAGTCATATTTGTTACATTAGACTCGTTTATCACACCCAGGTACAGTACTTTCTTTTTCTATTTATTTAAAACAAAAGAAGTGTTATTTACACTTTACATGCATTAAAATACTCCGTACATTAGCTGATGTTTGGCAACTGTGGGACCTGATTATTGTCCCTCTTCGGCTATATGTGATAGAATATTGTCCTTGTCCTGTTGCCAGAGCTGAATTAGTCACATCAGTTACATGGGTCACATTGCCTAAGAAAATTGACCGCAATCCAGGAAATCCCTAATTATGGTGGGTTACAGGTCGAGGAAGTAACCTGGTGTAAGGTATCTCCACTATCTGAACCCAACCTTATCCAGTTAACTTATCCTACCAACACATCTGAAAATTATAAATAAACCTGTGGCCTCGAAAGGTCTCGGGCAAAATTCGGAGACCGCAGTCGCCTCTTGGATTGGGAGTATGATTACAGAATATCACAAGATTTTTTTATGTGGCTGCCTGACAGCTGACACTAGATGACTGACATTTAAGTGGTCCAAGCCCCGCAAACCCGCAGTAACATTTTGAGTTAACTACGGAAGGTGAACGTTCGCTCACCTTCTGACTGGAAACTTGCGCCAGGGCCGAGGGTGGACCATGAACGAACAACATAAGCCAGACACAAATCCGTAACATTTGTGTTTGGGTGGAATCGAGACTCGACTAAGATACATCGTCACGTGATTAGATTAGACCGTTAGTTTCTCTACCCAATGGAGATGGTCATAGGAAATTGTCAAAGGCACTAGTAACTTGACCGGCTTTAAATTATTTCCTTTGAAATAATATGGTGTGTGATAATGTAATGTTACACTATTTTATAATATGAATAACTAATAATTATATTCGGAAGTTGGGAAAGTTAGTAGCTATGTTACGTTACTGCACGTTAATAATGAGGATGTTAATACTAATATACGTTGTTTATTTGTTCCTATTCTGGTACACATTACTACGTTTTCTCGAAAAAAAAAACTTTAATATAGAAGTTTTTGTATGACCAATATACAGTGAATGCACAGAAAAAAATATGGAATAATGAGAATAATGTTGAGGTGAATATTGTTGGTGGAGCGCAGTGTGTACTGTATGTCAGTGACACTGACCGCAGCCGACACACATAGAATAGCTACATTAGATCGTGGTTTTCGCGCGAATTAGGGGTGGATGACATCTACCCATATAGCCACAGGTGGTGGACCGTATTGTACTTGGTCTAACACTATCATCATGGACACATTACGCATAATATTGATAAGATGACATCATGTCCCTAAAATATGGTCCAAACTCCAGAGTATTAGACCATAGAATTTATGGCCTTAGACGATTTTTTCTTTCTTGAAAATTACTTAATTGAAATTAAGTCAGGCGAATGCTACTGCTAGCATTACCTTCTAGCACCTGTCCTGGTAGCTTGACATCTTAGTGACTTAATATCTAACCTTTAATACTAAACAATTGGAATATCTTGTCTAAGGCTTCACGTAAAACCAAAATAAAAAGGAATGACGATATACTG